GGCCGCGAGTCTGCAGCAAAATCCAGCCAATGGGGGCGCGGGGCCGGGAGCGCCGCCGCCGCCCCGCCCCGCGCCGCCGCCATTTCGCGTCGCTCCAACAAAGGCGCCGGGCCGCCGGGTGCGCGGCAGCATGGTCCGCGTTTTTATCAAGGAAGCTTAATAGCAGGATAGATTTACTTCTTGCATGAATTTTTCGTTTATGCTTTTTCTTTCCAGGTTAAATGATTTGTATCACCCACGTCGCTGTGAAACTGAAACGTCAAGTGGCCTTTTTTTGGTTGATAAGGAGTAGTATTCTTGTTATGAAAGTCTTTTGCATATCAGTCTAATGCATTGGAAGTGGTTTTCTAGATTGTCTTAAATGCTTTTAGCTGTGTGAGTTGCATATGTTCAATTTTAGCTGCATACTCATACCCAATTGATATTTTATGCACCCACAAAGTGTATCTAAGTTTTCCTTTTCCCATTCTTTCTCCTTTTAGGCCTATTTTTGGAACAGAACACTGTTTCTGTTAACTGCAGTTGTGTAGCCACAGTCACTGGGAAGAGCACAACATTGTAACGATTTATCTTTTCCTTATAGTCTTTAGAAGTCATCTATTTCAGAACATACAGGACAACACCCCACTCTCTCTTTATTCTTTTATTCCAACTTATAGCTTTTCCAGTGCAATGATTTCATATTGCTGAAATGATGTGGCTCATGTATTTATAGAGTACTTAAGTAATTAGAAAAATGTCAGATGGTAATGGCACTCAACAATTTAAAATATAAAGAAATAATACCTGTACTTCAGATGGTTACGTATATGGCATATAACACACTTATGTTTAAAGTTTCAATCTCAATATTTAAAAGATCTCTCAGTAGCTACCAGCAGCCATCAAAGGAGACTCCTCAGACTTGTTTCTAAGGTACATCACTCACTCACAAAATAATTTGCCAAAATAATCACTTCCATGTAGACAGCTGTGATTCAGCATCAGTATATTTGGAATAATCCTAATGCCCTCTGCTATATATGTCCTGCTGATGTTAGTTGTTCTAAAATTTTTTCTTGGGACCTCTCCCTGGTTCTTTTCCCTATTTTCCACACAGTGCAATACACCAGACTAAAATGAAATGAACTTCAGAAACCAAGATAAATCACCTAACATCTACTCTACTGGTCTAAAAATCCCCCTTTTCTCCTCTATTTGCTTACTTTGGGTGATTTTTTTTTTCCTCCTCCCAGGAGCCTTTGGCAGCAGCAGTGTACTCAGTAAGCCAAAGCTGATCCACAGACTGTTTGCTTTTCCTCATAAGATACATGGTTCTCCAGCAGTCCTGGCTGAAGAGGCTGCAGGATGTGGGATAAGAGATAAGATACTATTTGTGAATGCCATTTTTCCTGTAGCTGATCTAGAAAACAAGCACTGGCAGAAAAGAATATGTTTCTAATTTTCAGAATGAGAAAGGGTATATTCATGAAAAATCTGTGCAGAGACCACCCAGGAGCTGTATTGGCAAAATATTAACATCAGATTTGCCTTTATCATGGAAAGATGTCTTTCCATTGCCTCCTAGGAACTCCCAGCTGGAGGAGCTAACTAAACCCGTGCAAGCTGCCAGCCTGTAAAACAAGGTGCTCTCCCACAGGAAATGCCACCAGGGAAAAGACTGCCCCACACTTCATTTTGTGTAGCAGTGTGAAGTGGGCTTGTGATTGAGCCCTGAGACTCCTGAGTTGTCCTGGAGCTGCTATTGAAGCCTTTTCTCTGTTCTCTGCCTTCAAGCTCAGGGTTCCTAACTAGAAAGGTTTATTTCTACAGGACACTCCAAGGCCTTGGTCAATCACTGGTATCTCCGTTGTTTTTAAAGTGGAATGAATGATTTTAAGAAGTTCCCATCCACTTCCTTTCATGAACAGTTTTTAGATTATCAAAAGACTTAATGAATATCTGATTTCTATATCCCTATAGTCTGACTCATGCCAACAATGCAATAATCTCAGCTCCTCCACCATCACTTCTAAAGTTTCACCCTCCCCTCTTTTCAAGAACTTCAGTTTCCTTTACAGACATCCTCTAATCATCTCCAACTCTCTCCTGCCCCCATTATTTTGCTTTCAGCCCTCTGCAGTTCTTCCCTAACTGCCTCTTTAAGAAGTACACCAGAACTAACTGGCCTGCAGTTATGTGCTGATTTTTCAGCTGACAGGCTAAAACCAAGCAGTAGCTGTTTGGGTCATATCAGTCCCCTTTACTCACTGGAGGCTCTAACCTGGACTTGTTTCTACTCCTTATCTGATCTTCACAAAACCGAATAGAATTGAGTGTCTCTCCGACTTAGATCATCTGTCACTTTTGTCTGGAATTGAATCTGGACCAACAGACTCAAAGGGATTAACAGATAGTGTATGTCTTAAGAAGCTGATTTACTTAAAAACAAAACAAAACAAAACAAAAGAAAACCACATACAAAAACCCCAAAAACCAAAGCCAAAGAACTACCTCTGCTTTCTGTCCTAAAATTTGCTCCTAGTCCAGGACCTATGTACTGTAATGTTGCTGAGATTGTCCCATTTTTCTCTTTCAGAGTGGTATGACATGAGCAATAGCCTTTTTCTGCTATTGAGGCAAAATTGGAGAGCCCAGGCCACACTGTCTCGAGTGATATGGCAAGTCTCAGGCTTTCACAGATGTTTGCGAGAACTGCTATTGCCAGGGAGGGATTTCTCCATGGACTACTTTTCCAGGTAAAGTTTATACTGAAAGGAAGCTGTAAGGATGACAGCAAATAGACGGATTATTTAATCCTTAGAAGAAGGAGCACCCTGGCTTCTCTCTTGCCTTGCTGAGAAAGAGAGACCTAGGCCTCTCCAAAAGGCAGATGCAGCTCCTGCCTGCCTTATCTTGCTCTGTCCAAGCTGGTCCAGAGGTCAGTGGCAGCTGTGGGGAGGCAGAGCAGATGGAGGCAGGTGAACACACACCTTGTTTCCTGATCCTGAGGGGGGGAAGGGGCATTAAAGCAGAGAGCCCGAGCATCGGGGAAGCAGCATGAAGCTGCTCTCCTCGACACTGGTGGCTGCTTTTGTGTCTCCCCAGCTTAGCTGCTCAGCACAGCAGGGACACTCACCGACAAGCCTTACTCAGTGGGGAAGGTGAAAGGTCCCACCCTGCCTTCCTTCAGACAGCAGTATTTTGGACAGTAGGCTGGAAGCCTTTGTGCATCCAGCACTGTGCCCATGTGTTCAGCTAAGAAAAAAAAAGGAAAAAAACAAAAGCAAGAACAGCCTGATGAGAGATCTTTTTTTATGCCTGTACCAAGCTCTCACTGTATATTCATGGTATCTAATCAAGCACTTGGTCTTGTGATTTTAGCAGTCTTATTCATTTTAAATTACATTTACCTATGACAAATAGGATTCTTCTGCCCATGCCATCCGTCTTTTCTGAAATCAAGTAAGTTTATAAACTCTGAATGGCCCTTAAGGGCCGCAAAATAATATGGCAACATTATAGCATTAGCTTTGTGATTCCAAGTTATCCAGTCCTAACTTCATGCTCTCCTTTACTGATGAATGAATTTATAATTGTAATTGTATAATGAGACACAAGGCATTTTAGTTAAAAGAACCTATACTCATAAATGCACCTTTGTCTAAACATACAGGGTAACACTCTATCAAAGAACATTTATTCTTCTATCTTATCAGAAAAAAAAACACATCAGAATTCTTAATATTGTTAAATCATTATAGTCTTTTAAACAATTGCATTTTCTGTTTGTGCAATTAGCAAGAAAACATATTGAATATCTGATTTATGATAAATTCTAAATTAAATTTTAAATACATGTTTTATTTTTATTACCAGGAATATTGTCCGTCCTACTTAAGTTCTTCCAATACATATTCCAAAAATGTCCACATTCTTTCTTCTAGTTCAGAAATAAAATCACAACTTTCATCTCATTTAACATTCTGAGAGACAAACCATGTACAAGGCGTCCCAAAGAATTTATTTCAAACACCGTTAACAATGATTTGTATCCCAGAGCCTGAGTAACTTTTTGGTTATACTTTTTTCTCTTTTACATTTAAATTGTGAGTGCTATAAATGTAGGCTACTATATAAAGTATGCAAATATATATATCTTTTTATCTAATAGAAGAAGGAAAAAAACCTTGCAATTTCCTCCTACTGTATCTGGAGAAAATGGCGATAATCACGCTATACATGTACACAGTTATCTCTGTAGCCAGCTGGACGGCATCACGCCCAGACGGCCGTATGCAGCGCGGCGGACTTGCGGAGCAGGCACCCTCCGGCCCGCTCCAGAACCCCCCGACAATCTCTGCCACCGAACCAAGCGATTGAAGGAGCTCGTTGTGATTGGCTGACACGACTGTAACTCGCTAGCCAATAGTAGCATGGAATTTGGAATGGACCAGTCGGAAAGCGGGTAGTAGAATAAGTGACGTCACTGGTGCCGGTATCCAGTAGGAACGCTGAAAGTGGAGGCTGCAGATTTGCATAAGGCCCCTATAAATAGGGCCGTAATCGCCTCGCCCGGCACTCCGGTGCTCCAGCGGAATCCGCGAGTTCTCGACATGCCTGAGCCGGCCAAGTCCGCGCCCGCGCCCAAGAAGGGCTCCAAGAAGGCGGTGACCAAGACGCAGAAGAAGGGCGACAAGAAGCGCAAGAAGAGCCGCAAGGAGAGCTACTCGATCTACGTGTACAAGGTGCTGAAGCAGGTGCACCCCGACACGGGCATCTCGTCCAAGGCCATGGGCATCATGAACTCCTTCGTCAACGACATCTTCGAGCGCATCGCCGGCGAGGCGTCGCGCCTGGCGCACTACAACAAGCGCTCCACCATCACCTCGCGGGAGATCCAGACGGCCGTGCGGCTCCTGCTGCCCGGCGAGCTGGCCAAGCACGCCGTCTCCGAGGGCACCAAGGCCGTCACCAAGTACACCAGCTCCAAGTAGAGCGTCCCGGACCGTCAGTTTTAACCCAAAGGCTCTTTTAAGAGCCACCTATTTTCTCAATTAGAAGGGCTGTGTTACTTTTTCTGTTCGGGAGAGGTATGTAAAAAGCCTTTTTGTTTGCAAACAACTAGAATGTAAATACTCGGCCATTTCGGCAGTTAAAATGTAGCTGTTAAAAAGTTCGGAGGGTTTTCAGTTCTGAACTAGATAAAGAGTAACAGTTTATACTAGGCGTAATGGGCTACATTTAGCTATTATGCTATCGATTCTGGGCTTGAATGCCGCTAAGAAAAAATAGAAGCAACTCTCTTGTGTTTGCCAGCTCTTCTATTTCGGAATTTAGAGGTCTCTCTAGGGAAGGTAGGTAATCCTTTTTTTGGTCTATAAATTATTGTGGTAACTGATCTACTCTATATATGTTTTTAAATCCCTGTTACAGTTTAGGCTGAAAACTTCAGTTGCTATTAAAAATGCACGTCGTTTTCTATGTACTGCAAACGTTCACGTATATCGTGGTTTCTGCCCTTAATATTTAGAAAACAGTTACTCAACCCGAATCTTCCAGGTATTTTTTCACTGCAGTCCAGTGTACCCTCCTCCCCGTCACCTTCTATTTTCTAAATAAAGTGGCTGTCACTATTCAAAAACTTGGAGGTAGAGGAAGAACCTTCTTTATGGATTATTCTTCGACTTGAAACGCCAGTGCCCGAAATTCGTAGGCGCTAGTTCTTTCTCTCTTTTTTTTTTTTTTAATTTGTTCCTGCGTGAACCTGGGGCAATTGGGGTGTGCAAGGGGGATTTGGGAGTGAGGGAGGGAAAGGGTAGGGTGTGAGAATTCGGGGACACAAAACTTCCTGGCGCCCCTCTTCAGTATGAAAAGAGAAAATCTGCCTGAGGAAGCTGTGCTGCCGGACAGCGTTTTTCTGCTGGGTAAACGCAGAGCTGGGTCACTGCACTCCTTCCCCGCGCTGGAGCGCAGGGAGCTCGCTCCGCGCGAAGGCGAAAGGGAACAGGCACAGCCGGGGGGAAGTG